CAAAAAAAAAAAAAAAAAAAAAAAAAACAGGATTGTTTTTTAGATTTATGCTAGGTGGCGCAAGCTACCGACAGTTACAAAGGGTATAGCCATTAACATCCATCCATCAATCAACCAATCCAGCGGCGCATTCATTGTGCGCGATAGGTTTTAGTTGGTAGTTGCAGACGCACAAAGGCGATGAGCATCGTGACGATGCACTTTTGGCGCGGCTTGATTGTTTTCATTGAATCGCAGCGTCGTCGGCTGTGCCCGGACTTAAAGTAAAACGGAATATATATATATATATTTTTTTTTAAATTCTTCGTAATCCCGACAATTTTGTTTGCAATGGGTCCTATGAACCACTTTTTTTTCCTTAAAATCTTAAATTTCTTCCCATTAATATCGAACTTAACGTACGCTATTCGCGAGGACTGTAATATAAATAGCGGGACTCGCAGCGCATACGTAACTAGAAGTTTACTATTTGGAAAGATTAGTTTTATTCCTTATGTCGCCTCGACATTCGATCGGCACGGCTCATGCGGTGAAAAGCAGAACGACGCTTATGTTTTACGCTCACTTAGAGAAAAACGAATGCTAAGGATGCGAGTTCGAAGCCACGCGAGGCATATGCTCCCTGTAACCTTGCACGCGTGCTATGCGCCGTTAGTGTGGGGGCTTTGTTTCCATCCACATTGTGGACGGGGGAAATCACCACGTGTCTTGCAGAAAACCATGGATAAACAAGAGCACGCTTCCTCTACATTCAATCTGGTTCTCGAGGCGAATACACAATCCATTATAACCGCAGCCCCTGTAAAGGTGCCATTCCCGTGTGCACCGATGCACTGAGGCAAAAAACAGGCTCCTAATCGATAGTATGGTGCGTTTGTAACGCCATTAAGATCTTACCACCATGCGGTGCTTCGCAATAAAGCTGTAACGTATCATAATGTTGGCTATCTGGGTCTTAATTGCCTGTTTAAACGTATGATATTAAAGATAGAATGTGTAGAAGCTGGAAGGTTGTTTCAATCCAAAGAAGATTTCGGGACGAATGAATGGTAAAACATATGTCGTACGTTTAGGTGCACGTACTTTGTACCGATGGTTCTTGCGTGGTGAAATATAATAACAGGCATGAAACGTCCTTGGTTTAAAAACGGGTTTGTGCGATATATCTTCTGAAAGAGGCATCAAAGAACAGCGCTATGGCTGAAAGAGAGGCCAAGCAGTTTTAAGCTGACATGGGCTGATATCACAGACAGATGTTTGGAGCGAACGAGAGTTTTATACAAGGTTGACGTTAAGGCAGGCGGTAAAAGAGTTCCTTCTTATGTAACCCAGCATGTAGTTTGCGTTATTGATATGTACATACTCAGCGTGCATTCTCCAGAAGGTAAATCTTACAACTTAAAGGCTGTTGTCAAAACAATTAGTTCATAGTGGAATCTACCAGTGTGAGTCACCGAAAATAGCCGGTAAAATTTATTGTTCGACAGTAAACTGTGCGACTCGAAAACGTGAAAAGGCGACGACATCCAGGCAGCCCTATGGTAAACTAGAAAATGGAGGTGTGATGATCGCGCAGCGAGAGCATTCGTGCGATTCTAGCGTACTCAGAGAGGTGTGTAATCTGTGCGCGGGAAGCAGCGCCATCTTGCACTCTTAGGTTTAGAAGAGCAGAAGGGGGGCTAAGAAGAGATGCACGGATTCAGCATTTTATTTTTCTCTGCAGAGGCGTTGCATTCAGCCGTAAACGGGAGAACGACCCCTAATGGTTATTTTATATTTTTTGCCCGCTCCGTTTAATTTAGTACACACTTTCCAAATAATTGACTAGTCTTTGTCGCCGTTTAGCACAGTGATATAGTGACGCCGAGGCTTGAAACGTGGAACTTCCCCTCGGCCATTAAGAGACGCAAGCGACTAGTCCACACCTTTCCTTCTAGCCTACAACGGTGCTGAGCTTTGCTTTAATAGATACTCTCTTAAAAATGCCTGCGCGTTTACTTACCCGCAAAACACTCGAACAGCCAATCTCTGCGGTCTTCGAAATCAGCTCAGCAAATGATTAGGCGGGACATCTGTTTGAACTTCAAAATTAAGTCAGGCTTAGTTTTGAGGCATAAACGGATGTTCCGCCTCATCATTCGCTGAGCTGATTTCGTAGATCGCAGAGATTGGCTCTTTGAGTGTTTTGCGGGTAAGTAGATGTGCAGGCATTTTTTTAGAATGTACTATCGTCCTCATATCCGAGCTTGAGTCGGTATATGCAGACTATAGCTACGTGTTTTCTTTTCCTTTTTTTTATTTTTTTTTTTAATTTTTATAAAGACGTGTTAGTATGGAGCGGTTCCGCTGTTTTGTTTTCTGCACAAACACATTAAATAGCAGAAACGTATTCAGGCGGACCACGCAGAAAATTACTTACGAGTAGCGTATATCACTCTAAAAAAAGCCCGTGCGTCTTCTTTCCCACACAACACTCGGAGATCCAATCAGCGTAACTTACGGAGGCAGCTCAGCGAATGACGATGCCGAAACATATGTTTAGACCGAAAAACGTAGTCTGAGTTGTGACCTTAAAGGGGCACTGACACCCCAAAGGTCGTATTTATTTTTATTGTCTAAAAAGATGCAAGTTGCAGTCATAGACACGCAAAAAAAAACGCATCGCGAAAAAAAAATTTCCCGCGCGCGCGCGCGCCTTTTTATTTTTGGCGTTTGATTTTCCCGCCTCTCGCCTCCTCGCTTCTTTTGATCGGTGACGTCAAAAATCAGAAAATTTAGAAGCTTTGTAGGCGACATCTCTATAACATTTAATTACGGCAATCCTAAAACATGTTTTTTAACGCAATTGCGAACGCACTACGGCCCTTCTTTTTGAAATACCAAAAATCGGGAGTTCGATGTGGTGCCGTCTCCTGGATTTGTATCCTCCAACGGAAAACAGGCGACCCCGCTCAAAACCGGTCCGCCGCAACGCCGCCGCGAACTCCTTTCCTCCTCGCTTTGGGTCGCCATGGCAACAGCAGGGAGTGGTGAAAGGAAGTCGACTCTCAGGTCTCCGCAATTTTTGACGTCAAGGCACCGGCGCCGACCGCGCGGGAACTTCGAATTCGGCATTTGGAAATTGTTTTTTTACTTCACAAATACTGAATTCCCAAATTTCAAATTTTGAGGGTAATGTCCCGGCATCGTTTTCAATCGTTTCGGATAATAAAAAAAAATATGATTTCGATGTGTCAGTGCCCCTTTAAGCAATGCAAAACGTCATGCTTGCATTGCTTAATATCACAACTCAGACTTCGTTTTTTGGTATAAACATATGTTTCGGCATAGTCATTCGCTGAGCTGCATCCGTAGGTTGCGGTGATTGGCTCTCCGAGCGTTGTGCGGGAAAGGAGACACACGGGCTTTTTTTAGATGTACGTTGCGTCGAATCTCCACAGGAGGTAGGAGAATCAGAGTCGTCACGGAGTCTGGTCCTTCCCGTCTTCTCTGACGAGCGGCATGAACTGCGCGGCCACATAGGGCACATGAAGGGATGGCTTTTTGGGACGGAGACGCTACTGAGCGTGATCAGTTGACATGTTCTTGACATCATTGACAGTGTAAAAACGGAGATACGGACAGTCGAACTACGTGGGCTTTCCCCCTATACTTGCCTTCGCAGCTCACTCCTTCGACGATTCTTCGCTCCGCCCGTTTTCTGGGCAACGCTGAGAGGATCCCATCCGCATAAAAATATACGTCGTCAACTGCAAACTCAAATTTAACCTCAGGGGGAGGTCTCATTTCGAGCACCGACGTTAACGGTTCGGGCTTCATCAGTCGCTGGCGTCCTTTCGAATAAATCAAGATTACTAGAGAGTTTTACTATTGCGTGTAGGAGCGAGCGCAAGCACTGTGTTTTCGCGTTAGCGATGCGTGCTCCACGCTGCGCATGCGCGTTTACGCCATGCGCCAATCCAAGACGCACTTTGGGCTCCCGTGCAAACGCAGTGTGGAACACGCAACAGTAACGCAAACGCGCACTGCTTCCGGTTCCTCGTATACGCCACACTATAAAACTTGTTATTGTCGTTCTGTGCGTAATAAGTACCATCAGCCTGTATTGACACAAAGGAATATATTTTCATTGGCGTTCGAAGTATTAGGAAGATCGGAGGGGGTGGGGGGCGACAGCCCCCCCCCCCCCCTTTCTTTTTTTCTTCGTATTTGATGCCACTGTCTCGAAGTCTTTGAGTCCAATACTCGTCCTCATTTGCAGCTAAAGTTCACAAATAAGACCAGTTTTAAGAACATGGCGGCATAACAACGTTTCCAGCGCTTATCTCCGCGGCGAAAAATGCCGAATCACCGGGCTGTAGACGTATGCGTGGGCATCTGACATTTAGCAGAGCAATTATAATTTGAATGGTCATATATATACTCGGAAAAGCTGGCGGATGAACATCCTGCCATTTAGAGCCATGATAGTGTCCCTTCTTCGAACCACATTTTGCGGCGACGAAATATGTTATGGCGACCGGCCGCCGCCGTGGCATGGCCCTTTGCGCCAAGAATCTTATTCCTTTTTGTCATACGCTTCTGCTCTCCCTAATACGGCGGCGTTCAATGCATAACAAAGTCGTAGTGTCGAATTTCCGGGTCATCTAAAGTCTGAAGCGGAACACGGATTGGAGCCGAGTGCTACGTCATCGGTCGGCCCAGACTCGTGCCCTATCAGTGAAAACCCGAGTCCTGCGAACAACGACGTAGCACTCGTGTTCAATCAGCGCCCCGTTTTGGTCTTCTTCGGATGAAGGTCTACAGATTTACTATCTAGGAAGTTTCGTAACTGTCGTCCATGTTGGCGAGGTTTTAACTGGAAGATGATAGATTCACCTAGCGAAATGTGATTTTTCATAAGTGTGTGTTACATGTAAAAGACATCTGCTCGCCCGCTCGCTCGGTATCGGCTCGCTACTCGTATCTCATATGCCCGCTTTCTTTTTTTTCCGGCGTAGGGCACCACGGAGGCGAGCTCGGGAAGCACGTCTACAGCGGCGCCGACCACGACCGAGGCTCCCTCCGCCGGCGAGAGCAGCACGGCGCCGCCGGCCTAGCGGCGGCCCGACCCGGGGCCCGTCCCGGGACCCGACTCCACTCAGCACTGTACATACCGCAATTGCCCGCCTACATCGCTGTTCGCCGCCCAATCTCCGGATCGCTTCGGGGCTCCACTCCTCTTTAGTTATGTGATAGAAATAAAGAAAAAAAAAAAGAAAAAAAGTCCAAAGTCCGAATGTCACCGACGACAACCTGCCCTTCCCCAATTATTTATGCGTCCTTCGCCACACTTCGCAGACAACGCAACCGGGTTTGCTCGCCTTAGGTTGTCTATGGTACAAAATATCCCTAAAGGCATACTGCAACGAAATTTTAACGCCTATTTTATTGTCTAAATGTCAAGCACACTCTGGACACCATGGAGACACCAATTTCTTGCTCGAAGAGACACAAAATGTTATTTAAAATGAACAAACGGAATGTCGTTACGTCGCCCTGACCTTAGAAGCCGCGCCGCTCCGCGGAAGTATGGCGGCAAGCTGCGTGCGCGCGAGCCCTGTCCGAACGGGGTTTCCCTTCTCTTCCGGCCTGTTCAACTCCAGAAGGGAGCGGGGAGGGGCAACTTAAAACGGCCAGGTTCAAACGCGTTGACGACACCAAGTGACGGAGGTCCAAACCACGCCAGCGCTTTGTTCTCGCCGGGCCAGTTGACGTCATCGACTCCCGGCGTGATGCATCGCGCTCTCCGACAAAATACGAGCGTATACGATTGTCATTTGCAGATAGAGTTTATCATTTTTAACTTATTTCAATTTTGATTCAATACCCCTTCCATTAGGGCGAACATATTTCAGCCACAAACGCGTTTAAAAACGCTCACAAGCGAAATTCCAATCACTGCGAGTCTACCCGCATGAACAATGATATGCATGCTTAGAGACTTGTATACACTCCGTGCGACGCGACTGGCGCGCCGCCGCGCGGCCGGTACCGAAGGTAGGCAGTGAGAACCCCAGAGAAAACGAAACCGAAACCACGCCCTGTACGTTGGTACGCATTGAAGTTTGAGTGGTGCGGTTGCGCTGGGTTCACAGCATGAAGTGCTGCCTGTGCTGCGTCATTAAGTGCTTCAATAGTTATGCGTCGTATCTCGTGGAGACAAAGTTTCAGTTTTTCACCTCGCCGATGTTTTGTGGGAAAGCGTCAACGATTGAGCCGTGCCGTACGACGCGAGAAATTTGGTCTCCCGATCATGTCTGCCAGTGTGTCGGCACGGCTGACATATTCTACACTGCCGCTTTGCGCTCTGCGTTTGTTTGCGTATCAGTGACGCCTACATGTGTCAGCGCCGATGGGACGAACTGAAATGCCATCCCACATTCGCGGGTATGCAGTGCCAATTTCGTTGGAGGAACGCCCTCCAAAGTAGTTTCGCCCCATCGTCCGTGTCGATGATATTTCCGGACAAGTATGGCACGCAATCTGTACTTCATGAAGAAAGAATCGAACGGTAAAAAAAGTTACAAAATATAAATCTAAAGACAACAACAATGAAACTCGTAATCACTGGAGATTCGGCGTTTGAGTATGGAAGTTTATGTGGTGTGCTTTCTTTCTTGATCAGCCTCCTTCTGGATGTGGAAACGCTGACACCCCGAGTTCTGTAGACAACATTTTTTTTCCTCGGCTTTAGAGCCTCCTATTGCAAAGTGGTTCGAACTGGAAGTACCGTCCACTGGTCCCTTCCTACCTGTAAAGTGTGCACCTCCCACGATGAGTGGTATTATCTGAGAGCCTTTGACGATCAAAGCCAGTTCCCATTTAGTTACGCCACCCAAATTAAATTTTCACCTGGTTTCGCTATGCCAACTCTTTTTGTTATAATAAGTGTTGTGCCAAGTGACGGTCATGTCAAAGTACCTGTGCGCCGAAAATCAGCACCTCGCACAACAGGTTATTAAACAACAGCAGACCGCGAAAGCCCTTGGCGGCCAAATCGTGTTTTGGCCGACAACTTTGGTTTCTCGGCTTTGGAACCACCTTTCGTAAAGTTGTTTCAATTGGAAGTACAGTCCACTAGTCCCTTCCTACCTCTAAAGTCTCCACCTCCCCCGACCAATGGTATTCTCTTGACAGCCTTTTCATGGTCAAAACCGGTTCCCATTGAGTTACGCCGCCCAAACCAAATTTTCACCTGGTTTCCCTATGCCACCCTTTTTTGTATAATAAGTGCTGTGTCATGTTACTGTCAAGTCCAAGCACCTGTGTGCCCAAATCTGCTCTTTACACAGCCCGCTATAACACAACATTTTGGGTCCAATATTGGATATCCCGTACAGCTTTATTTCTTTATTCGTAAGAAACATAACTTTCACACCTGCTGTCTTAAAGAAACTTGGCTCTCTTCGTGCACAAACTTAGTGAACCTCTAACTCGCCTCCAAATATCGTCGTTCCAGCAGTCCTAGGTTTACCGCGACGAGCGAAATAAATTTCCCACTCAGAGCAATTAAGGTGGCGGCCGTCTTGTTTTTCGGAAAATCACTCCAACTCCTTTTTCGGCCGCAACTAGAGAAAGTACCCCTAATAACGACTCAAACTCAATACATAAGAAGTGGAGAACAGCTAGATGCCCTTCTTAGGTCTACCCCAGCACTCATGCAACGTCACCCTCAACTTATCGGCTCAAAAAGTAAAAGTTTCGTCCGCGCGCGCTTCCGCCGCCACAGCTTGGCATGCGAAAAGGCGCCGCAGGCTGCTGAACGCGCCTCACAGTCGAACGCCAGCTCCTCCGCTAGCGGCGCTGCGCGCGTTTTTCAAAGCGCCCCCTATAGTTCCCGCACGGAGTGTATAGGTCAGTGGCAGCATACATGAAAGCCAAGTGCATCGTTGGACTCTACTAAAACGTCTCGTCATGGCGCTCGTCATTTTTGTGCGTTTGTTTTCATCAGCTATACCAGTCACGCGCAAAAAAAAGTGAAGGATCACGCCGCGTTTATTGCGGATATGATTGGTTAATTGAGCCGCTGATAACAAGCATACAAGGATGGTGCTGATGATGCACTTTTAACGCTGCTTGATTGGACAGTGGCGTTGGCTGCTGTCGAACTTGAAACGGATCGCAGCGCTTATCACCCGGGCGAAATATACTGAGTCACTCCGCTGTGGACGCATGCGCAGTGTCTGATTTACAGCACAACAGAGCTACAACGCATGCTCAGGACAGGTTCCACAGCCCAGAGCAGACAAAGATGGCAGCGCGCATGAGGCGAATTTTGCAAAAGTCTGCAAGTCCGGCTTCAAGGTGCCGCCATCTTGCTCGATCGGGGTGCGCGTAGACACGTCATGATCCGATTACGAAACCTCGCTAAGGCGTTGCGTCGTAATCGAATTATGGCCGCGCCCATGCTCACCCCGAATGAGCAAGATGGCGGCGCTCTGAGACCGGACTTGCAAGGCTCTGGTGTCGACCGGCGGAAGGGCAGTTTTGTGCGCTCGGGCGGCTCTGCGCAACGCTTTGGGCGTCTGGCGTCTGGAATTCCGAGCGGCCCGACGCCTCCGAGCTCGGCAGACGGGTGATTGCGAGGCGGCAACGGAAGCGACGGTGCCGACCTGAACCAAAAGTGGGACGCCCCTCGCTCGGCGACGGCCCCGCGAGGCAAGCTCTACTTTTAGGGTGGGCGTGCCTGCCTGATCCGCTGCCGTTCACACCCCGGCCGCTCTTCCGCACTGCACGGAGCACGAGCAAAACGGCAAGTCCGACGAATCGCCGCCGGACGTACGCAACGTCTACGATACGGGCATTGCAGACGGACGGGCTCCCCCTCCAGAAATACCCCGAGTTTTGCGCCGCTTCATTGGGAAGAGAACCTCATCCATAGCGTTTGTTTCGTTCAAAAAATGTCTTATTCACTTACTTCATTAAAGAAGCAAAAAGAAATAAAAAATAAACACGTTAATTATTTAAAAAGCTATCGGGTGGTTTAAAAAATCACCCAGGGTTTTCAACACTTCTTAATAAAAAGAAATTTGCAACAAATAGCTTTTCCTACAACACACGTTTTGTTTGTAGCGCATTGAGCAGCGAGTGGATCTTTCGTATTAAAATAATGGAAGATAAAAAACACGTAAAAAGTGACTTCAATAAAATAAATTCTTGGGAATAAACAGCGGCAAAGAAACTTGGACAAGAGTAAAGGAACAAAGACGACAGGACGGCGTCCAGCGCCGTCCGGCCTTGTTTGTTCTTTTACTCTTGCCCAAGTTTCTTTACCGCTGTTTATTCCCAAGATGTTCAACTCAAACCAATTAGCCCAACACGTCACATTGTTGAAAATAAATTCTTTTTTTTTCTTTTGTTTTCTTATATGAAAATTGATTTACTTTTGCTGCCCACATGTTTGCAGCTTCATAGATTCACAATACAAAAGTCTCGTTGTCGCCCGCCACTCAGGATTTGGATTGCAGAGAGGAGCGTAGGTTGATTTGCGACCCACTTTCGACACCGTGCAATCCCCGTCTCCAGAGAAGGTCGCAAAGAGCAAACGTGCCTCCTGTTGTTTACATTAGAGCATGGCCGTTCAGGCGGGGTTGCTCCCTTTTTTCTGCTTCTCAAACTAACAAACCATTCCGAGAGCACTGTCTTTGCCGTTTTAGATGTTGCACCGCATAGCTACACTGTCAAAACAAAAAGCAAAAAAGCATCGTGTTTTTTTGTTCGTTTTTTTTTTTTTTTTTTACGCCGAATTTTATTGTAGGGGAAGCGGACTCAGATTTTCTGCTTTCGTGGCCAACGTTATTAGATTAGCTCAGTTACAGAACTGCTCTAGACGCTGCTCGCATAAGCAGTCGCACCCCCCCCCCCCCCCCCCCCCCACCCACCCACCCACTCACCACGACTCACCTCCCGTCGATCGGCGCGCCGGTGGATGGATGGATGGATGGATGGATGAATCCGGCTGAGCCCTTTGGATCGGGCGGTAGCTTACGCCATCTAGCCATTTTGTTTTACCATTTAAGCTTAGAATATTTAAATGTGAAAACTATATTCACTCCGCACTGAAAAGACAGTGAGGCTATAAAACCCCCTTGCCATTAGTTCATAAAAAAATACCTAGTTTTCTCCCGCTTTCTGCCACCATTCACTTAATCTTTGCTTGGTAATCCCTAATGTCTTGAAATATACTTTTCCTTTGCTG